CCCTTCATCCACATTAATATTATGTGAGTTTTCTACCCCATCCTCATTAATAATTTCACCAACTGTTGGCCCACAAAGATAACCTGTAGGGACCCCATCTTTAATAATTTCTACCTCATCTATAACATGTTGAACATACAAGTCCAAAAAGTCACCATCACCTAGGTCTTTTATAAGGTTTAGTAAGCTGAAATCGTTATCCACTAAGACAAAGTTATTGGTTGTAGGGTCTTTAAAATAAAACCCACCCACAGTAACATACCCCAGATCTCTAGTATAAAAAAGCAATTCCATTAAAGAAAAGTGGTCTTTATCGATACCTACATATTCCACTTCACTTTCCCCTATGTAAGTGAGACCTCCACCAGATGTGTCTTCCACAAATTTACCACCATGGTGAAAGCGAGTTACTATAATAATATCCATAAGATTCCCTAGAAAAAAAAGTCAAATAAACCCGACAAATTACTGACAAGGAAACCCTAAAAAATTCAAACTTTATTCACATATGTACAAAACATCATCACTGTAGTAATATACAAAAGAGACGCTATATTTAAAGGGGAAATTGATAGCAATAGTCATAAAGATTCGAAAATGAACTTACTTCACAAGATTTAACACAAAATCTCCTTGCTTTCTCGAATCAGCCCTAAAACACAACAACAAGAATTATTTTATTGAATCGACCACGCCGTAGGATGAAAACATGAAGATTATTGATCAACTTTCTTGAATCAACCACATATTGAGCGGGAATCTTGAAAGAATATCTAGGGTTTTTTGGAACACGTTTTAGGGATTTAGAGAAATGACTGAGGGGTTGGGTGTGGGGTTGGGTGTTTTGTGATGTGTATTACCACGTAGGATTAGATTTTCCACATAGGAGATGTGTAATGTCACGCGCTCCACCTTAAAACAAATGCCTCACACGATAAGTGCCAAGTCAGCCAGGTGTGTTTGATAGGTACACTTTTTGAGTGGTTTAAGTGTTCAATAGGAAGGAGTCCTTGTTAAGGTGTCTATATGAAAAATCCTTACAAGTTCAAGGGGCCGCATATGCGTTCTGCCTTATGTGAAAGAGATAGTGAGGTTGCATAGGGTGTCCCTCTCTATCATCTCCAACCGTGGTACCCAATTCACATCCAAGTTTTGGAGAAAATTGCATGATGAATTAGGCACATAACTCACTTTTAGTACAACCTTCCATCCACAGACAGACGCGCAGTCGGATAGGACTATTCAAGTATTAGAAAACATGTTGAGGGCATGTGTGCTTGATTTTAGAGGGCATTAGGATAAATTTCTACCTTTGTGTGAGTTCTCCCATAATAATAGTTATCACTCTAGCATTAATATGACACTATTTGAGGCATTCTATGGGAGGGGATGTAGATCACCCATAGGATGGTTTGAGGTAGGAGATGTGAAACATTTGGGGGTAGATTTAGTGAAGGATGCTCAAGATAAGGTGTGGAGTATTCAAGCTAAGCTTTTAGCAGCCTAGAGTAGACAGAAGAAGTATGCGGATCATAAGGTAAAAGACATGGCGTTTCAAATCGGTGAGAATGTTCTTCTTAAGGTATCACCAATGAAAGGGGTGATGAGATTTGGTAAGAAAGAAAAGCTAAGTCCGAGATACATTGGTCAATTTGAGATTCTTGAATGTGTAGGACCAGTAGCGTATAGATTGGCTTTACCTCCTAATCTATCAGGTGTTCATCTGATATTTCATATGTCTATGTTGAAGAGATATCATGGTGACGGAGATTATATCATTAAGTGAGACTTAATTGTGTTAGACAAAGACCTCTAATATGAGGAGGAACCGATTGCAATTCTTGATCGTGATGTGCGTAAGTTAAGGACCAAGGATATTAAGTCCGTGAAGGTTCAATTGAAGCATCGTCCAGTTGAGGAAGTTACTTGGGAAATCGAGAGGGACATGTGAGATAAGTATCCCCAATTGTTCGTCGATTCAGGTACTACTTCATTCCTTCCTTAGCCTATTTTTCCTAAGTTTTGTCACTCGGGGACGAATGATGGGTAAATTGGTATCTATTGTAACGACCTGCTTTCATCGTTATAGAAATGCCAACGGGGGGAAATTTGGAACCGGAAAACTTTTTCGTAGAATTTGGATTTTCTCAGCCTTGTCCAGATTTGGATGAAATCGGAGTCATATAGGTGTAGGGAAATCTGGTAACAATCGGATGAATTATTTATGATTTTGATTACTTGAGTAGTTAGGTAACTCGTTAAGGAATCCGTACGACTTTACGGAATTGAATTCGGGTGAGTAGAACTCCCGAAATCGATATTAGTGCTAAGGGTATTTTTCTGAGCGTCGTTAGTTAGAGATGTGTTGTGAAATGAGGATTTTGGAATTCTCAAAATAGCTCTTTGTTTCGTTCCAGCCGCTTTGGCCCTGGATTTTGCCGCTCTGGCGGGGTCGCTACAGCGGGATGAGGGTCGCTGTGGTGGGCTCGACGCGTCTTAAGGTCATTAATAAATCCCTAAACGACCTTATTATGCACTTTTCGATTTTTAGAGCCAAAGAACGAACCCCATGCGACTCTTACTAGTATTTCACCATTCTTGAGGCTAAAGGTAAGTTTTTCACTCCCTGAATCCATTTTTCGATCCGTAGAACGTAATAGAATGGGTGAATATTGACGGGGAAGGGTTTTGTTATAGATTCTATGGTGGAAACAACCCTAATCTGGATAATTGGGATCATGGGTTTGATCTATGGTTCATAGAATGGTTAGTAATTCGGGTAATTAGCAATTGTTTATTGATTCCCGTATTATATTGATTGTTTGTAGATCAAGAACAAGCGGAACGAATTCGGAAA